AGGATATCCAAATTAAATCTTTACTTCAATTGGCAATGCTTAGATCTTATAGATGAGCTTATATTTAAACTTGAATAATGATTTACCTCCAAACTATATTATTTTAAATTCTTTACATTATTCTTATGTAGTCAAAAAAATTGATCTAACAATTAGTAGTTCTAATATTCTCAAAAATTTAAACATAAATCACTTAATATTATATTTATATTATGTTTAAACATAAAAGACTACTTATTAAAAAGTTAGTGCTCACTATTCAAACCTCTTCTTATTTTGTTTTTAAGTTGGAAAAAACAAAAAAGAAGTATATTATTTTTTTACACATATATGAATTGATAAGCATTCAACTATATATTAAATATATTTAATAAAATATTTACCTCTAATTTACACAACAATGTTATTGCCTTTAAAACTTTGTGGTTTATAAGACTTAAAATTTTGTTACCTCATTGTCAATGTTTTCTACATTATAATCCTATCAACCTTATATTATTAAAACACTCTTAAAATTGGAAAGCTAAATTTATCCTTAAATCTCTCAAATAACGGTTTATTTTTTAGAATAAAATTTTATTTTGTACCTTAAGCTCTAATTCAAATAGTCTTATAGATTTTTATTTTTTTGTATATATACTACTATTTTTATTATTATTTTTTAAGAACCTATCTTAGATGTTGATATAAAAGAAATTGTATTATCTTTCTACCTATGCTATCTCTTTTCATCCATTTATAATCTTATTATAGCAATGGAAGTCTTTTTAACACAGAGTATAACATAGAAAAGTAAATTTGTACCCAAGTTCAAAATCTATTAGATATGAAGGCCAAAATAATATCAATTGATCTTAAAGTTAAGATATTTTCATATTATTTTATTGTACCAATCCTTTTGTAAGGTAAGCATATTACAAAATAGTAATTTTATTTTCAAATATACTTCTAATTAGGCCTTTTATTAAGAGGCTTTTTGATTCTTTATATATGTCAAACCTTAATCTTAGTTGTTCTTTGTTGTATTGATCCAAAAGACTCAAATGTCAAAAAGAATCCTTGTTTATTAAACTAGTACTTGCAATTTTGTTTTATTTCTATTTAGTTTTTTTTTATCTACTTATGTTTTATATTTGCAATTGTATTCATTATTTTTTAGGATTCATAATATATAATATTTCAATTCTTATTTCCAAGTATTATTGAATTTTTTGGATTGATGATAGAAGATGTAATATTTATATTAGTGATGTCTTTTGAATTATGTATTTAGATTAATTGGATTAATTTTTGGTTTTTGATCTTTATTAGACCTTAGTAGGCCTTGACTCTGTAAATTTATCTAAATACAAATTTTATATGAAAAATAAATAGCTTAATTTCTTAGTAATATATATATATATATATATATATATATAATTCTAAAAGTATAAATATTAAATCTATATCAATCTCATAATTATTATTGTTTCCAAGAAATATTTTTAGTTTTTTGGTCCCAATACTGTTTATTCTTCTAAATTTAGCTAATGATTTTTTTAAATTCATGAAAAAATATTATCAATAATATTTTTAAAATAATAATAATAATAATAATTTAAGAGTGATTTGGATATGGTGTAAATTTTAAATAGAATCTTATAAAAAAATTATAATTATAATTTCTTATGTATATTTAAATTTTTAGCCTCAAGTTTATTTTATTTTTATGCTGAAGATGTGCCACATTTTTAATATATACCTTATTCTATTTTTTTAATAAGTTAAGAAATCTAATTCTTAATGTAATTTATTAGTTTAGTTTTTGTAAAATTAGCTATATTTATAAATTTTTTAAATAATTCATTCTTACTTGAAAATTATTTTACTAATGTAAAAAATAAATTTTAAATTACATTATAATCTAATATTTAAAGCTTCTTGAGAACATAGATATAAGGCTCCAACTTATATTTTTAATAAAAATGTCGAAATATTTATCTATATTTGTTGCAACATATTTTTTATTTCATTTTTTTGTAATAATTTTTTATATTACTTGAATAAATAGAAATAAATAAAAATAAGTTGAAGTAGATATAAATATGTTAAATAATATTTTCCTTAAAAACTTCATTGAAGTTTCTTAGACACAAATTAGATATTTGGATTTTTATAGATATGTTATGTGGCTATTGAAGCTTGTCCTACATCTTGGAAAGCCTTGTTAAGAGTAACATACAACTTGAAGCTTAGGCCACAAACCTTGTTATCTCTGAAAACGATTTTACAAAACTTTCTGGATAGTTTGTAAATATAGAGGTAAGACTAAGGTCATCATCAATCTTGTTAACACCTTTCTTATATTCTAGTCTTGATTCAAGACTCTCCGTGTTTTGTGGAATTAGTAATATCCATTATTGATTTATTTTATTTTATTCTATCTCTTATTTTTTATATTTCTCTCTTTCAATAATAAAAATATTTATTATTTTTTCTAAATTTTATTCTAATTTATATCCTTAGTATTCTTTTTGTATCTTTTTAATTTTAAATCATCTTCTTGTTTTATCCTTGTCTTTGATATTAATTTGTCATTATTAGTAGATTTTACAATATCACTTGAAATTATTGAATAAGTCGTTATATTAATCTTAACTTAGTTTCAGTATAAAATAAATAAATTATGTTAGTATATTATATCTTAATTTCTTATATTACCTTGCTGAATCATCACTTAAGTTCCTTTGAAATTCTAATGACATGATTAGATATTCTTAATCTGTGCTTTGATTATATCGTTACTTCTTTTTATGTGCCTAACAATTTTAGTAATCAATGATTGGAAGTTTTCTACTATAAATTCATAATCTATACTACAACAGATTGGAAAAGAGAGAGAGTTTATAAAAAAGTCTTAATTTACAACAATTGTAGATATTAAGGTGCTATTTCTCTCTTTATTTGCAACAATTTATTATAATTTTAATTTCTATATATTTTAATTTATTTAAATATTTATATTTTTTAAAATATATTTTAAAATTATTTTTTTTAAGTTCAAAATTTTAAAGTTAAAAACTATAAAATTTTATTAGAAAAAAATACAAAAACAATAAATATATCTATGAATTAGATAAAATAGATAATTTAAGATCATTCTAGAAAACGTATTCTGAAATACCAAATACCAAAATACGTACCATTAAAAAAATGACATTGGTTTGACTAATGCAACATTGTCCAATTTTTGTTATTTATCTTTCAAAGGCTAATCAGAATTTAGAACCAACACTTAACTACATGACACTTACAATCTGTAATACTTTATCCAATCTCACAAAACCATTCAGATTACCTAAAAATAATTTAAACCTCTAAAAATCAATAATTGAAAAAAATTATTTCTACCAATCAGTATTATATTTAACTTGATTGCAATGGAGGGATTAAAATATGTACAATAATATGTAACTAATCCTTACAAAAATCCCAACTCTTTACAACATGTCAGATTTAATATATTTACAATAGGAAAAATTATCTATTTATGTCAACAAGAACGTCAAATTATTATTCACAGTATAATCGACGGCTATGTATTAGGATTATTCGTGAAACGCCACACGGACCGCACGATCAGGGCGATGTAAAACCGCTGCGCTCGGTGTGGGAGGGTAACAAATGAATGGATGAATTATTGTGGATGGGGGGTGTGAAGCGGGATTCGTCGCGCCGAGGACAAGACACGGCGTCGTGGACTAGATTCCACCTGGATGAAGTATGGTCGGTGAACAATGCCCTGTGGTGCCATATGCGTGAGAGAGGAAGGGAGCGATGGTACGATGGAGGGAGGGAGGGGCCCACTCCAGGGTGCGAGGTGCTCTGTACACAGGAGGATCTCACAAGTGCGCCAGTCACCAGCCCCTTGTGCACGATGCGGCCTCGACCTTGCTGCGGTACAGCTCCCATGGATCCATTTTACTTGAAGGTATGGGAGGGCGTGCGGGAGATGAGCTATTGGATTCATCGTGCGCTCCGACATTGACTACTGTGCCGGCCACTCTGTACTTATGATGCGGCCCGCATCCAATCTTCCGTTCCGGCGAGCCTGGGATGAATCAGCGGGACATTATTCAATTTCCAGAATGTCGCTTCCGAACCCTACCCCTCAGGCGCGGGGTTGCTCTCGCACAGCCCCAGACAAAAAGCTCACCCCATGTCTGCACCTTTGTCTCACCCTTTAACACCTCATCAGAAGAATGTTTTTCTGTGGCAGTCATGAGAACTTGGACCCCACTGAGAGGTTCGAACCGGCCCTTCTGTTCCAATTTAATGGCAATTTGTAGTATTGGTTGCCTACAGTGTGAAGGCAATCCTCCGTCAGTGCCCAACAGCGTTCATGTCCATGTGCCTGTACCCCCCGTCGAGGACGTCGGATGACCGATACAGCCTGGACGCTCAAGTCGTCAACGTTACTGTTTTCGGAAGCCCACTGTCTAAGAATCATTCTACACGCTAAGTCGCACTTGTGGTTCGTGACGAGTCATATCCTTGTGGGATAACACATCGTGTCAAGCATCATTTCTCGGTATTAGGAATATATCAAATCTGAAGAACATGAGCAAAGATATTTCTCGTAAAGTGCACTCACGTGGACATCCGCTGGCTCGATGAGCTGCACATGCTAGAGCGAACAGATTTCTCAAGATTCTGGGGTGCGCACATCGACAGTTCTGAATATAATGCTGATGTTCCGGATTCCAATTACAATTGATGATTGGACAGATTCATGAGCATTGCTGGAAATACACTACTCCTGGACGTGCAGTTTTGACCACGCTTGTGAAGAGGACGGCAGCAAGAGTATTGTCGAAGGGCAGTGTGACGAGCATGATGTGAACTTAGCGGTTTGAAAAAGAATTATGAAATGGTAGGGAATAGAGTTCTAAGATTCTTTATCCTTGTTTCGAAACACGTAATCAGACGGAGATCTAGACAAAGCACATTACATCCATGGATTGATCAACTGCCAGAATTTACAAAATCCTTTTACATCTCGGTGCAAATTCTATTAAGATAATAATAATTCAAAGTAAATCTCAACAGTAGAGAATGTCTGGTTTCATCTGCTATGGAACAAATGCGACATATCCCACTTTTCCAAATCCAAAAATGCTAAGAGGGAAGATTTGAAGCTCCACGAGACAGAGATTAGGTGTCTCCGGATGACTCTACTCAAATGTATACGATTCTAGCCATCGCGCACGCGTGGACATGTTTCCAGTCTCACAGGTGACTGAACGTCGGCAAAGCCTTGTGGGGGGGGGGGGGGGGAAAAAAATTGCTCCCCGTTTCTTCTTGTTCGAAAGTACTAGATACACTTAACTTGGAATCTTTACACCAGTACAAGATCAACTCCCGCAGCCAAAAGTGTGGTAAGTCCAGCCCTGCACAATCTCTTCTCGCCTTGAAGAGTCTCCATCAGGGTAGAAGCTGTCACAAAGGCAAAATCCACAGGAGATGAGTCCGAGATTTTGGTACAAACACATTGTGTTCAGTCTAAAAACAAAATGGGGAATCTTCGGGGTTCAAGACGTGCGACCCTAATCCAGCACCAACTACGCTCACAATATCCAAAACAAGGCAAAGAGGGAAATATTTCACGCACGTAACCCACGCCTTTCATTTCATGCTGGAGCTCGGGAAGAAATCTATCAATAACGGATTCGAACATGTCATCACACATATGATGTGTGCTGTGCTGCAAGTGAAAGCGAGATCACAGGTTTTAAAAAACAAATATCAGAAATCAAAAAGCTCACCAGTGGCTCAGTTGGGGTAGCCGTTGTAGTTGTGTGGAGGAGGGGGGTAGGGGTGAGGAGTGCGCCCACTGGAAGGGTTGCGCACTACTGGAGGGTTTGAAGGGGGACGGTTGTTGTTTGGAGGTGGGTTGGGATGATTGAAAGATCTCAACCCAGAGCCGCTGTTATCTTGGTGCACCATAGTAACGAATTCCAACGACGACTTACACCCACTACACGGTCCCTACACCCCCCCAAATATCAAGACAATGGGTACAAAGGGATGAAGAATTAAGCAGAGAACCCAATCAAAGACGTGAAATTAGGTGTCTGTTGAAACGCACGGAAACCTACGCATCCGCCCAGCCGGTGATCCTGGGTGTCACCGAATGTCTCGTACCATGCAGAAAATCTAAGGAGGTTGCCGCCGAGTAAGAATACGTCAACAATGCGCGGATCCAACTCAGACAGGGATGAGAATGGAATGTGTAGAGAGTGACACTCGAACAATGACTTGAGCGAAAGAGAGCACTCATGCACGGGGAAGAGAAGCTCATCAAACGCAGAGAATAGGCAATGAAGCAATGAGGGTGCGAGTGGGAATTAATACAGGTAGTAGTTCCTCAGGAGAATTGTAAAGCTTTGGGGCCGACTGGGACTGCATATGGTCTACGAAAATTTAGAAACCTAAAATTGAACACGACTCGTAGGCAAAATCATGAGTAGGAGTGCCATCCGTATTCCCAGCAGTGTCGCTTTGCAGCAGTAGAACCGGGGAATGCCTGCTACTAGATATTGAATTTGTTAAGATTTTGAGCTGGTCCTCTCTGCCAACGCCGCCATGCCAGGATCTACTGGGCTACTGCGGCGACTCACACCCTTGGAAGCTGGGGAGGCCTGGAGCCGCTGACGTTCCACACGTTCTAATTCTGAATTCATGGCTGGATGGAGTAAACATTCTTTCCTGTGTTGCGGACCCCATTGCTTTTATTAGCACCATTCTCACCGTTTTTAGCTCTCTCCCTCCATCACTTTTGAGTGCCACAGGGGCTTATATTCGGGTAGATCATTAAATGCTTCCTCTTTTAGAGCTGGAATCATTGGGCAAGTGAATCTGAAGGCCCCTGAAACAACTCTCTGAGGATATGGTGCTATTCAATTCCAATTGGCTGTGACCTGGACTCTAACTTTTAAGGGAGGAATGGATTTGGCATCTACCGAGCTTATTCGGAAGTTTCTACCCTGTCCCGCCGGCAATATCTCCCCGTCTGGATTTGGTAATCGCGATTAATTAAGCATTCCACAGTGGCTGACCGCCTCTAACGATATATAGCCAAACGACCAACCCCGATAGCTTTCATAAATATGACGCAGTTTACCGTTCCACGATAATCACAGGGATGGAATCAGTTCGTTAGAAACCCGTCGTGCTGAAGGGAAATTAAATGTGAGAGGCTCCTCATGCGGGGGTGTGGCTAATACTGCGGGAGACTTTTTAATTACTCGGGGATGGGGAAATAGAAACCTCTCAGGCAAGCAGTTCGCCCATCATAATGACGCTGGGCAATGGCCTTTTCAGCATCATGCATGCAATCTCCTCCCTTCTATTGCAACAGTAACCGCACGCATGGGACCCTCAGGGGCTAGCTACTCTCCTCTACAGCGAGCGAGCAAGGGAGGCGACTCGTAACATCCCGCCTGTTCCCGCTTCCCAATTTCACTGCCAGTTACCATTTCTAGCACACCAATCTCCTTGCGAAATGTGAATCCGGAGGGTGGCTCTGCAATCACTGCTCCGCCTGCGGCACAGACCATTGCTGTTGCTATTGCAGAGGGTGGGGATGTGAGAGAGAGATCCTGAACCAATATGGCGAAGATAATCATCGAGATTTGCAGCGGTGGGACTGGATACATGGGGCCTGCTGCGCGTCCTCGAGGCTGGTGAGTGAGTCTACTCGCCGCCGAACGAACTGGGGCGTGAGTACAAAATCCCACCCCCTTAAGTGACACGCTAGCGGATGTTCCATCGTGCCTGCCACGTAGGATCTCGCTTTATCATTTTCTATTCCTCGCTTCAAGTGGCCAGGACCGCGCATCGTGGGACAGGTGGATGGATGGATGGTGGATAGATGAATGAAGAAGCTATTGATTATTCGATTGGTGTAGATGTGTCTGTTCAGCACTGGTCATGGTTTATTAAAATATATTATTCCATCCGTTCATGATTGAAATCCAGTGTGAATGAATGGCTTTTAAATTCATTAATGACATTATAAAATGTGTTTGTACATCTGTTTCAGATGGCAACATCTCTCTCTCTCTCTCTCTCTCTCTCTCTCCATGAATATTTGTATTTATTTTTTTCATATCTTTGTGATAGTACGATTCTGTGATATAAATTGTCTTACACACAGTTCAAAACCCAAAACTTATTAATATTTGAACTACTGTTTGGAGTGCCTAACATTGGTGCACAGTCCTTAAAAACTGCTCCGCTTGTACTAATAAACTTACTTTTGTACACATCCTTTAAGCATCAATTGTTGAATTCAATATGATGAATGTTGATATATTTCCCCCCCTCTTGAACATGTAAGGTGGGAAATATATCAACATTCATCCCATTTCAAAATTATAAATTAATAAAATTCTCATTGATACTCATGATTTGCATGGTTTCACCAAAGTGATGCTTGTGCAAACAGAGTCTTAAGAAAACAGTATGGATGAATGAAAACACGTGTGGATGTAATGTGAGTGACAGAAGCATGGATGGAGGGAGTTGGGGGAGGGTGGCATGGGCACAGGGACTCTGCATGAGGGGATGTGCATGGCTTGTCCATTAGCTTCAAGAGTTGCCATATCATGCAGCCAATGTCCTCTTCTCATTTCACCACAAACTCCAACACTTCCCTTTCCCAGCCTCTTATGTGTGGATGATTCTACCCCATGCCTCTCTCACCACCTGGGCCCATTGCCCTTCTTGTCCAATAAACTTTTACTTATATGTTGACACATATTTCTATATATAGACTCATCTGTAAACATACACACACATGAGTAAAGGCACAAGAATGTTAGGATTTCCCAATGCACTGTTACATGGCAGGTTATACTCCTTCCAATTTATGGATCTTTATTAAAGTAATGTAACTTTCATCCTATGACCTAATGCATGTTAACACTGTAGAAGTTTTTTTTGGGTCATTTGAGTGCTGGTGATGGTGCTGTTTGGATGAATTTTACCAACAGTGACATAGCATCATCCACATTAAAGGAAATAGCATTCATTCAGTGTGGGTGGGAGGGATGCTGGTAGAATATGCTACTTTTTTAATTTTTTAACAAGCCAAGTCCTGCATTGTATGTGGACAAGCCCAAGGAGTGGTGGGTGTAAGATTTGATGAAAGATTCTAAATGTAGAGGAAATGTTACCATGTTAATCATCTCCCTTAGATTGGACTCTTGTGTTGTGCCCTAAACTTTGTAAAGAATGTGTGTGTATATTTATAGACCATTCCTCTTTTGCTCAAAATCCTTTACTCTTCATTTCCCAAAAATTGATTTTGTGATCATGGAAGCTCATTGAGCACAAACTAAGAGACTTTTCACCAGTAGGCTTGCTATGAGTTGAATTTGATCCATCTTTTTTGCTCTGCAATTATAATATCTTCTGTTGAAAAAACCTCATCCATTCAACTACATCAAAATCACCATTAAATTTTTAATATTTTGGTGTAGCTTTATCAATAATGAAAAATAATTTTCTTGGTTCACTTGCTGCATGTATTCCACTGTAAATCCCAAACCTTGTTATATTTTATTATTCTATTAGTCATGCCCAAATGAAGTGCAATGGCATCCACAGAAAACTGGAAATCATTGCTATCTATAATTATCAGTTCGAGAAGACACCAGAATGACTCAGAACCCATTTTAGAGGATCATCTTAATTGAAATTAATATTTTTATTTAATTATATGAATAATCAATACACATGCAATCATAACTATATTTTTCATCTCTACAAATGTCAAAACACATGTTGCATAAATCTATGCATGTTTAATTCAATGGAAGACATTTCACTGAAATTAATCTAAAGTTATTGTTGATAATTTATTCATGTGTATAATGGTATGTAACAACAAAAATGTATAAAGTATTAACTGCTGCAGATGCCTTCTTCAATCAGGACTTCTATAAAATATGATATTTAGTTGGACCAAATGTAAGATTATTGTAATTCTTTCATGAAAAAGTTGTCTGTGAAATCAAAGGGGCAATTGGAATCCGAAAATGATGTTCATAGGTTGTGGCAATTTTGTCAAAATTAGACAAGAGAAATTATGCTTTGCACTCACATAGACCCAAAAATTCCAACCATTACCTTATTAGAAGGAATTGAAGGCAAATTGTAGATCCTCAAACACAGTGGTGATGCAAAACAACAAGGTGGCATGACCTTGTACTGCCAATCATTTGAAAGAGTTTTATTTTTACTTACTATTTAATAAAATAAAACAAGTGAAGACCATGTTGGCATCTCCACAACAAGATATGAAAAGGACAATCTTACACATGTATGTATAAATATACACACACATATATAAAATATTATCTAAAGGATATTACTAAAATCATAAAGAAACAATAAGTTGATATCATTATATTTTTTATTTTTTATTTTTTTTTGGATTATCACATATTTGATATCTTAGCAGGGAGAAAGAGGAATAAAATAATTAATTATCACATATAAAAGCCAAATACCATGTTGACATCTATGCAACATGATGTGAAAGAATTTCAAGTCTATATTACTTCGTTTTTAAAAATGCCATACTGATAGAGGATTTAGAGCTTAATACTAGATATGATTTTAAAAAATAAATCCAATAATACCAAAATAAATAAATAAATAAATAAAAGAACCTCTAGTAGGATAGATATTGTTATAAGTAATATTCAAGTTTATTTTTAGAAGTATGAAATTTGTGAAAGAAGTTATAGCCACATAGTCCATCAATACATCCAATTTTCATCTAATTGTTTTATTTATTGTTCCTTACGAAATATATTATTTTTCTAATGTATTTTATTTTTTCATTTTTTAATGCTTACTTAAATTATATAAACATTGGTAATATTTATATGAATATATATTATATGTGTATTTTTACATTAAAATTTTAATGTTTTTATATATATTTATAATAATTTTAAATTCTTTGATTAAATTTAAAAATTGAATATAAAATAATAAATTATAACTATAATAAAATGAGAATTTATAAATTTAGTAATAAATAATATAATTTAATAAATTATAATGTAATAAAATATATCAATTATAAAAATAAATTTTAAATATTGGTTTATTTAGAATTTATAAGTAATTTGTTTTTATTTATTTATGCAAAGTCATTTAATATTCAATAATACTAGTTAAATCCATGCCATTGTTACAAAAAATATATTGTTTTATAATTCAACTATCCAGGTTAGAAATCTCTTCAAAATCTCATCAAACCACTTATATCAAAATTATCTTCTTTGATGGTCTATGATTCTTATCTTTTGCATTAAAATCCTAAAAACACTAATTGAGGTACCAAATTATAGTCAAAATAATAATAACAAAAAAATAAAAAATAAAAAATAAAAAATTATACATATTTACATTGAATAACAAAAGAAGATAACATAAAACATGATAGCACAAAGACAGAGTATTTCCATTTACATTCATATGATAGTGTATAAAACCAACTTCTTCTTTAGACAGAACTTTTGC